TGTCAATGACAAAAGTTTCCTTATAATATTTGGCCTGCAGATTGTCTCATGCCTGCCCGGTCTGCCAGACATATTTGTTTTGGAAAATAATAATAATGTCGGTCCACATTAAAAAAAATTTTTGCCTGCTTCATCCAGCAGGCGGAGCTGGAAGTCCTTGATTTGGGATAATTACGGCTGCGTTCTGGCTGGGTCAGGTATTCCATTACAATCCATTCAGAGGTCGTTTTTTCCGGTGAGTCTTACCTCGTGCAGTCGAATGAATAAGGAACAATGACTTTGAAAGGGCTTGAAACATTGACTGGAATGTCCTGCCAAACCCAAGAAAAGCGCACACATCCTAATTAAAATCTGATGAAGAATTCCTTTCAGCGGAACCGTTTCCAACAACATTTTTGAACCAGAGCCCATCCACAAACCTGATAACATACCGAGACCTTTGAGAGCTTTTCCAGTCTCACCGGGTCTTTGGAGGGAGAAATAATCAGCATACAGCAACTACTTTTATTGACAATTAGCAATAAAACATATCATGCTGGATAGGATGAAGCTGTATCTCTGTTTTGTACAGATTTTGTCGCTGTTGTCTGCGCTCATCACACTATGTTTGTATTTATTAAACAAAAGATGACAAATCTTCAGGAAGACGCCTTAGCATTTGGTTTATCTGAGGTATCTATGCATAGATGCATAACTACTTTTCATTCATAAATTCATTCAAACTATGTCACGGTGTGGGTTTGTTTCCTGTTTTATTTTGTCGTTTCCTGCCTCTCGTGTCCCTGGGTTAACTTCACCTCCTGCCCTGGTGTTTTCTCCTGTGGGTGATTGTCTGCCGCGTCCACGTTTGTTTCCTCCTGTGTCCAATCGCCTGCACCTTCCCAGTGTATTTAAACCACGCGTGTCCCTTGTCCCTTGTTTATCGAGTGTCCTGTTGCTGCTGAGTGTCTTGTCTATGTCAGCGAGTTTGTTTGTTCGTGTTCCTGGTCCATGTTTTTCCCCGTGGCCTTTTTGATTTCCCTTAAATAAAGTGGTTTTGTTCTTACAATCTGCCCTTGAGTCCTCCGGCCCTGAACTTCCCTTTTGTCAAACCACATGTAATATCGTCTCTGTGATTATTGTCATCATCACAAACATTTATTATATCATCCACTGGCCATTTTTTATTTTGTTTTTTTCATTCAGCCTGAAGATCATATATTTCCATATCCACTAATCTGTCAAGGTCTTCAACATTTAGCGTTAATCCTGCTGAAGTCCGTACATAAAGTGAGGTTGTGAACATTGTGTTCACAGGGTTGAACCTGGACGTCATGTTCCAGACACAGAACAAACTTTCAACTGAGCAAAAGTTTTCCATCAGACGCCTGCCGTGTTTGTCTGTGATCTTTTTTTCAAAAAGAGGTTGATCTCTCTGCCTGCCGCTCACATTCCACGTGTGAATCTGCTCTAAATCCCCTCAAAAAACTGTCAGCTGTCACGAGAACACGATAAGCATGAAAATGTGCCAGTTTCGAGTGTGAAAGCTGTTCAGAAGTTTCTTTAATTGTCTGGAATGGAGAAAGTGCCTAAAGGACGGGACGGCCTGTTGTCACGACTGGTCACCGAGGCCAGACGTCCGTCTTTCACTGCAGCAGCCTCGCCTGGAAAACCACCGCTGTTACCAAGTTTAGATTCCTCAACCCCAAACAGTTCTACTAACGTCAGATGATGATAGCTTATTTAAGTGTGATGCATCGTGTCTTCTGTCTGCAGGAAATGTGTACATGTCTCAAAATGCTTCAGTCAGTAAATGGAAAGAATAGTGTTTCCTCTAAGACACTACTGCCCCCTGTTGGCAGACAGCAGTTGGGTTTTTTCCTACGACTAATTTCTCTAGAAAGATGAAGAAGAATATAAAGGTTTAATCCATTACATTTTTATTTTTTGTATTTATTTTTTTAAAGCAGATACATTCCGTATCAGTGACGGTTTTACTTCATTTGGTGCAATGTGAATGACATACTACAGCACTGTTTTGCTGAATTTCCCTGAAGGAGGTAACTAAGTCTATATACGTCGAACTGAGTACCAAGCTACTTCATTCTTAAATAAAGGTCAGGTAAATTATAATTAGTATTTTTTAACACCTAAACTTGTCACCTCATGTTTCTGCTCAAGTAGACCAATTTAGAAAATGAAATGTCAGACTACATTAGTGCTGAATGTCACAGCAGAAACCAGAATTACAGTGATATTTGGGACAAAAGGTCAGCCGAATGATTGGCCACGTAACGAGACCGCTAAAAGAATGTAGCATCACATTCAAATGAAGCTATATGGAAGTGATTGATGATGTAACTGAGAAGTAGTTTATAAGCCGCATCCACACTGAGAAATGAATGATTGTGTTTGAAGGGAACACGTATCAGCTTTCGTGGATTCGGGACGTTTTTTGGAAAAGACACTCTTCACACTCTCTGTCTGGGATGTCTGTTCATCACCTGCCTTCCGGAAGACCTCCCGACTCCTGCACCTGTTTCGCTGTTGTCGTTCCTGGAAAAAAAAACGCTCCGACACGACCCCTGTGTGAGTCCCAGAGGGCAGGCGATGCCCTGCAGTGGGATGATGCTCTCTATCTAAAGCTCTGGTTAGGTGCTGCCCTGCGCGCTCTGTCTGTCTCTAACACCTAAATGATGTTGACATTTCTTTACACGTTTTAGCTGTGATCACCTGATCACCGGTGATACTTGAAACCCGTTTCCCCCACAGGAAATCAACAGGAAAGGATGGAAAAGAGGCATGTGTTGTCCTTTAAAAATCTTACAGCAGAGATTATGCAGACTATTGCTGCTTTCACCACCATCACCATTGTACTGAGCATCGGGATAGTAGTTGCCATGGGAATACTTTGCCCAGGAAATTGTTCCTGCTCGCTGTTTCTCTCCCTCTTATGGCCTCCTCCCTGCTCTCATTCACCACTTGACACACAAGCGAGGGAGTTCTGACAAAACAGACAACAAAAGGTACAATTTGCTAAGTTTGAACAGTGTTAACTAATCAAGTAGAATATGTGTTAGGTCATAAGCTTTTGCTGATTTGTGATAAAGTAGGGATTAAAGGTGAAATAAAGTTGTAATGAGGATCCAGTGAATATACTGAATATGTTTCCTTTATTAGGACATTTCTTTAAGCACATTAACTTATTTGTAATTTTGATTTTGATAAAGCATCAGAACTACAGATGCTCACTGCTCTGGATTAGCCAACACTCCTTCACTACAATGGGAAGTTTAAGAATTCTGATTCTGATTCAAATTTGTTAATGTATTTTTTTTCCAACGTGTTAGCAGACACAAACGGGAGTCGTGAACCAGCTTTTAAATTAGCTGAATGGGGAGTATTAGTGTTCATAAATTCATTTTTTGTGGCTAAGTTTTACATCTCTGCATTTCTTTTTGTGGTGCATATTGTCTACATCACTAATATGTTTTTATCATATCCGTCTCCCCACAACATTTTCCTTTCTCTCTGTGATGCATAGAAAGAATGCAATTCCCATTAAGAACATCGAGAACATCATCACGGGAGGTGTCCAAGAAATACCTGATGGAGGAGGAGAGGCAGTTGGCGGCGGCTCCAAAGCAAAGGTGCCGACTGAGCTCTGAAGCCACGTACACACTGTACATCTCAGCTCCCAAAATGTACACATATTTCTTATTTTAGGGGTTTTGTCCGCATGCTGAAGTGATTGGAACACACTGCTATATTAATGTCAAGCTTTCACAGATGTGATCATGGTCCGGTGTTGAGGTGACCTGACAGTGATCACACCTTACACACACGTTATTAACACCTGTACGTTTGTCCTCACACACACACACACACACACACACACACACACACACACACACACACACACACACACACAAAGGGACGTGCTGCTAGTGGGTTTCAGGCCGAGGTAATTGCTTGACTCACTCAAAGCCATGTGAAATACATAAAGCAGCAAATACATTTAATCACCACGTCTTGTTCTTTTAGTATTAATCATCAGAAATTTGATGATCTTCTGAGTTGTCTCTTAACACCACCACAATATTGCTTTGTTATTTTGAATGAAATGTTTCCACAACTATTTGTCACGTATGATGTGCACATTTATGATCCTTTCAATGTGAGTTTGAATTATTTTGGTGATCTTCTGAGTGTCCATCTAGCATCATCATGGGGAGTATACAAGTATAAAATACTTTGCTTTATTACCAAATACCTGTAAAATTAACGACATTCTCATCAGCCTCCGTTGGGCTTTGTACTATTTTGCGCTTGTTAGCATTCTAACACACTCAAGCAAGAATGGAAACATGCAAAACATCATACTTGATAAACATCAGTGTGCTACTTTGTCCTTGGCAGCATGAGATTTGATTCTCACAACTGAACTGTATTGCATCATCAAAAAACTAAAAAAAGATCTCAGTTATATGGAGGAGAAACTGGGTCTCTTGAAATGAACCAAAGGGGGCTTTTCTTGCACTGACTCACTCTACATCGCACCATCATTGCATATCTTGTCCTTCACCTCACACTTGAACTGTCCTCAGCTCTGTGTTTGAAGCCTGCAAAGAGGAAAAAACACTGTAGCTGGTGTAAAACCTGCGCTAAAGCACCTGGGTTACCTGTTACCAAGCAACCATGCTGATTAAATCAGGCTTCCAGTTATTATGAATAATGATTACCAAAAATAAAAATTTAAACATAATGTTAAAAAACTCATGTTGAATTTGTATGTCTTGTAAGTGAAATGCCGATAATGCCGATAATGACTCAGTCAACTTTCTCCAATGAAAATAAGCTTTGACAAAAGCATGTTCATGTGCATCAGCGTTATTGTTGTGCATTTGAATTAACCAATTTCATGTTATTCTGCACTGTTGTTTTCTATAACTTCCTGTTACCTCACAGCCCTCACAGCTGCAGCTGGAAGCAACATTTCTATTTAATGAATGTGAACAAGATTGAAGGATACATTTATTCATGGAAGAAATAATCAGACAATCAATCCAGAATTCAGAAGATATAAATGACCTCAACTACATCAGTGTACTCCACATTTTGAGTCATTATATATTATTGACAAAGGTATTGACCCTAGCTTAAGCTGATTAAGCCATCTCTATTACTTTTATTGAGCCAGGTTGTTGTAAAAAATATATTAATATTAACCACAGACAGATTTACAAGGACACACATGTGGAAAATGACCGCCTGGGTACGTTCAATTTTCTTGAACAATTTATGTTACATTTTCTGTAGAAACTAACCTCTGGTGGCTGAAGTAGCGTGACATTGAAACACATTAACCTTTGATACAAGAGAGCTTTAGTTGTTTCGGTTCCTCAACCAAGTGGTTGTTCCTGAACTTAAACTTAATTTTAATCCTCATTGAATTAAATGTTGACCTTCGAGTTTTACGCCGTGATCCTTCAAGAGCAGCGAGCTGCTGACAGATTCTATAATCCTGAGGATGTTTTTATGGATAATTAGAATATGTTTTCAGTGCTGTACTCCTCGATAACACCAGTGAATTGATTGTGCCCACTGGCTTCAGACTGCAGCAGTAATACCATTTTCCATAGGGGACTTTCCATGGACGGGCGGTCAGGGGGAGTGGGGTGTAGGGGGGCGGTCAGGGGGGGCAAGGATGACGATACCAGTCACCACATGAATAAAAACCGCTGACGACAATTCCTGCTTGGATTACAATAAACCAAAGCTGACAACAAACAGAGACTTTGTTCTCTGCTTCTGGAGCTGGAAAAGCCCCTCATGTGCTCCTTCTTACACAGACTGCAAAGAAGATTAAACAATACTGTTTTTGAAATGTTATAGTCAACATGCTGCTGGATCTCCAAACCCAGTGGTTGTGCTGCGGACAAAATACTTAAGAGCTTTTGCGTAGGCATTGTGCCTCCAATTGCTCATTAAAGCGTCTAGACTTGCACTGATCAAAAGTAAGTCCTGGATTTTACTAACAGTGTACAGTGGTTGTGTAAGGATGCCAAACTAATGCTGCATTCTACTTGATCACTGTAAATATGGTAAGTATGTGGAGCTTTCAAATGGTGAAAATTCAATAACTGATCAACAATTGCTCAGCAGTAAAAGAAAAGCTGTTCTGGGGCTTTCAATCATATCACATGATCTTCCTCCCCTCAGATGTGTTTTAGATTATCGTTAATTAGTGCTGATGAGGATCACGTGAGCTTGCCGAAAAGCTCCAGCATAGCTGCTAAATGGACCTTGTTTTATGATCAAAGACCAACACGTAGAAGCCCACAAATGGGCCCATTCCATCTCCTGATGAAGATCCTTAAATACGATCGAAAGCTGAAGAAGGAGAGTCACCTTGGGGGGGGGGGGGGGGGCTGCTGTTGCCAGTGTCAATAATGGAGGTTGAGCTTCAGCTTCAGCAGTGCCTTTGTACAAACTCACCTGAGCCCGGCCTCCTTCAAGCCGGAGAAAAAAAAGACATGGACAAAAATATCAAAAGGAAGAATCGGTTGTGAAATTGATCCCTTCATTCATTTTAAGAAGGTACTAGAGAAAGTAAGTTTAAGTACCCTTTACACTCAAACTATTGAGGCTTTTGTGCAAATGAATGCAAAATGATTTTGAAGTTTACTCATATAAAGCCTCCGCATGCACAGTATATACACATTATACGCACCATATTTTTGTTGTCACGGTCTTAATGGGTTTTTGAGTTAAAGCTGGTTTGATAAGCCTTAAATCAATAACATAATAAACAACTGAACTAAATCAAGGATGTTCCAGCCTTTCATGAAACCCTTTGAATCACCAAAGCAGACGTATAAGAATAAACATGTTTCTCATCCCTTTCCTGCTTTTAAGTGGCACCGATGGATACCGTTTTTTCCGCCAGGCACGACTGCACAATTTTGACTGATAACAGCATTGGTGGGATGCAGCATTGATTTAGGTCCTTTGTGGACACAACAGGGGATTGCGGGTAGACCAGAGGAGTTACGACTTGACAAATATTTGAAGTGTAGCCCAGCTCTGTTTACCTCATCCAAAGCCTCAGGTGGAGGCCGCTACCATTGAATTAAGCATCACAAAAGGAGACTAGGCCCACAGTACCATGGGCAGAGAAGTAAAAAAACATTTAACAGATATTTGGCAATATAAAAATGTGCTTGTACCTCTTATTTGCTTTATTTCACAGTCATTTGATTAAGCAATTGATTTTCAGGAAACCTGGGAGAAATCACTAACATTGATTGGAGGGGACTAAAAGATTGGATTTTCGGACCTGGATTTTCTTTTCTTGTTGTTATCAAAACACACAATATGAAATATTCTTTCCGTTTCCTGTCAATTTGATGCACTTTGTGTTCCAGAAAACACGTCTAAACACCTTCTAAACTCACATCCTTTCAACATGTATTTGCATACATCTGCATTACTCATTTTTATCAAATCCACATACATTTAAAGTACAAACGACAACATCTACCAAATTAGAAGAAATCTCAATATTATGCAAAAGTCAGACTTGAGAAAACATTAATCCAAAAACGTAAATCCATGTTACAAAAAATAACAGTACCACAAAGGTTGAAGTGAAAGGGCTGACATGGATGTTCTTTTACCGATATATGTTATTCTACCGGTGCATCGCTCAGGACAATATCATTTGTACAGTGTACATTAAACCAGCACTAGCACTAATCCAAATAGGCGCATTGTAAAAGATTTTTGCATTCTCGATAATCATGCAGATGAGTCCTCGATCGTGGTTTTCGGGTCTGTATCAAGTAGTAGTTGAGTTGGATCTAGCAGACACATTTCTCCCATCATTAAATGTTAAGTATGAAATTGATTCTCGTCCAATAAGAAAACTACACTGCTTCAGGTGTAGCTTTTGTCCCTCTACAATGCGTTAAATCAGCTAAAAGAAACCGAGTATCTGACTAAGCAGCATTGATATCCTGTGCAGGCCTGGTCAACCCAAGAGGCCTCCCCTGTAACGAGTTGTGTCCAGTGTTGAAGGTCAGAGGCCAGGATAGTTCATGGGGTGCCGGTAGGGATGATGCTGACCTTGTTGTTTCTGCTGATTCTACGTTCAGGCCGCGGCCTGGGCAGTTTGGTCTGGATCAGCTCCTCGGGTGTGTTACCCAGCGGGGGCAGCAGTCTCTTCTTGCTGTTCCTGGTCTCCGGTAACCACTGGGGCGGCAGCTCGAAGGGTCCGAAACCAAACTGTGTGGAGTCCTCAGCGTCTGTAGGCGTGGCGGGTGCTACCTGCGACGAAGAGGCGTAAGCACACGTGTGGACCGGAGAGGCCCGCGGTGCCATGGTGGAAGGAGGGCCGTCCTTTGTGATGACCAGCCCTCCCCCTGTCCCCTGCAGAGGATCCTTAGTGATCGACTCCCCTCTGAAGCTCCCTAGTCTCGATCCGCCCTTCAGGTCCTCTTTAGGCCCTGAGCAGCCTGCTGACGCTTGAGCAGGGATCTCTTTCTCTGCACCCTCTTCCTCCCCTTCCTCCTCGGAGGGCCTGTAGATCTGCTGCTGGCCAATGTTAAACATCTCCAGGAGCTGGCTCCCCGAGCGGCCGGCTGTCTCCAGTCCCACCGGCTCCCCGATCACACCCTCCACTCCTAGAGAGGCCAGAGCGCCGCTGCTGACCACGTTTCGGCGGCTGTAACGTCTGTGGGTCCTGGCCAGCAGGTCCAGCCAGCTGTGGCGCGCCGAGCGGTTAACGGTCAGAAACAAAAGGGGGTTGGTGAGCAGGGAGACCTTGGGTAGCCACAGAGCCGTCAGGTACAGCGAAATTGGCAGTTCCGTAGTGTCTGCCAAAATTGTGCGATAAACCACCAGTGCCCCGTAGGGGGCGCTGCAGGCCGAGAAGGCCAGCACCACGGCCAAAAGAGTGGCGTGGAGCTCGGCTTCTCTTTGGGACACGTACGGGATGGAGATGCTGGTCTGGGGAGTCCGCAGCGCCGCGATTATCACCTTCTTCTTCTGGCTGGCACTGAGCGCTCTGCGGATCAGCAGCATTAAGATGAAGACCAGAGCGAGGGGGAGGATCACCGTGGTGACGTTGTAGATCAACACGTACACCATGTGGCCCGGGGAGCGGGCGTGGTCATCGGAGCAGGATGAGGTCACGTACAAATCCGTCACGTTGGTCACGGCGAACACCGGGAGGCTCGCCACCGTTGCATGGATCCAGATGTAGATGACCAGATCGCGGGATCTTGCATCTGAGATCTTCTTCTCCAACGGGTACAGAACAGAGTAGTATCTAGAGACACAAGGACAGACTGATCTCTGCTAACAGATAAAAGGGCTGGGTTCTATTTAGCTGTTTACGTTTCAGACTCCTTGTATGGTGCATGCTGACTCTGTATCACTGATACACTTCATTATGACTTACTTACAAAATGTATCCTCTGTTCTCTACTCTGTAATCCACTATTTATTTAGTAACACTTGCTTTTTTCTGGACTGTTGTTTGACTTGAGTGTTTGCCTGAATGCAGTCGTGCTGATTCCGCTTAAAAATGTCTCTCAGTGGATAATTTATGTGGAAATACAGGTGGAAATGAAAAGTGGACAGACCTCAAATGTAACAGAAACGGCATCCTGCATGAAACTGCATGAAAATGCATTTCCACTATTTTTGGCGGGCCGCTGTTAATCATGTAAGTTAGAAAAAAAACGGAACCTCTCACCGCTGAGAGCATCAAGTGGTTTTGCTGGAGAGGGAATACAAATATAAAATGCATGCGCCTATTATGTAAGCTGATGTGCTGACAAAAAGGAAAGAACATTTGTAAACCCAAATGTGTCCTTTAGCCTCTTATCATATTTATGGTGTTACTGCATTACAGAGGCTCATTACTATCATTTATAACTGCATATTTATATATAGAATAAACATATTAAGTAAAGGACAAATCTGCCATTTATTAAGCTATTCATTGTTGGTAAATTTTTTACCAATAACAATCCCCCCCCAATAAATTTAATAAATAAAATAAAAAGATTGTTATCTGAATTGGACTCACTTCTCATAATGCGATAACTCCCCCAAAGTTGGCTGCGACATAAGCGTAAGATTGTAAGCGGATTATAGAATCTGGGGTAAAGGGAAAACTGTGAATATTGAACTTAGTTTTGTTAGAATGGAATGAACAGATGTTCTCTTCGTTTTGCTTGTGCGTAACTTGTTATCATGTGTGGTTGTTTTTCATATCACACCCACAAACTACATCTGATTTCCATCTTAAACATACAAGTATGCGCTGATCATTCCGTGATTCCTGAATAATTAATTAAACAAATCACGTAAAGAACTTGTTTATTAATCAAGATAGTTTGCTCTTGAATACTGTAGATGCAACTGTGTGTGTGTGTGTGTGTGTGTGTGTGTGTGTGTGTGTGTGTGTGTGTGTTAACCAGCCGATAACTGCTGCATTCTCGGCCCGCCGGTACTATGGCTGAGGGGAAGCTGCAACAAGGCACGATCACACTGCAATCGGCTTAAAAAATAAATGATACTCTAACTTACGTGTTTTATATTGTAGTCGATGGGGTGATGAAGCGCTTCCTTGTTTTTAAATGATGAAGAATATTTGCCACAGCCCTTATTTACTTAATCAATTTTACTTTCCTGATCATTAAAGGCAGGAGCTTAGTTTGCATCTGCGTGCGCTTGTGTGCGTCTGTCTGTCTGTCTGTCTGTCTGTCTGTCTGTGCGTGTGCGTGTGTGTGTGTGTGTGTGTGTGTGTGGATCTCAGGCTGCTTTTAGCTGTAGCTTTCAGCACCACAGGGGGAACTGGAACACGGCCACTCAGCGAGGCGTTCAAATGCTCCATCGACCCCACGACTCTTGTCAACGCCACAGGGTGTAGATTGAGATTGAAAGGACTTTCTCCATTTACAACAAACTATTTTCTAGAGTTCAGCCCATGGTTTGATGTTGCTCCAGCGTACAAGCCCAAGACACTCTTCTTCTCACTGATCAGCCAAGTGATCTCCAAAAACAGCATCCACCATGGTACCATCTCTGCCTACTTCAACCACGCGTGTAAATCACTGACCTGTCGAGTGCGATGGCGCTGAAGCTGAGCACAGTGACCGAGCAGAAGAGCTTATGGAGGAACTTGATGGCCTTGCAGAGCAGCAGAGTGTGAAGCCACCAGCAGCAGCGAGGGCTGGCGCCGAACGCCACGTCGAAGGGAACGCACGCCAGGCCGGCGCAGATACCCGAGTAGGCCAGGTTCTTGACGAATCGGTTGGTCACGGATTTAAAGACGTTTGTGCAGCAGGTGCACCACAACACTGAGGCGTTTCCTGTGGGGCCAAAAGACCTAATTTGGTAATCAGGCATTGATAAGAATTACATTCGTGAACACGTGACCTTTGAGAAATAACAGAACAATCTATTGGCTTGTGTTTCCCTTCAACAACACAAAACACATAAACAGTTAACAGGTGATTACCCACAATGCCATCGACACACTTTTAGGGCACCCACGTGTCACGCATCGAGCTGCAGTCATGATTGTCGCCTATCAGGGAAGTACGGGCATGTCAGTGAGTTTTGGGAGCCAGGCAGGTGGAGGGAGGGGGGCAAATATGTTGAATTGAAATACTGAATCCCAAAACCTATACGACTACACACTCAAGGTTCATTAATAAAAACGATAAAGGAGGAAAAAACATCTTTTACGTCAGGGAACAATGCTGATTGTTGCAATTGTAAATCAATTTGTGCATCTATATGTCTATGAGTCTGTTCATCTGTTAACTTGTTTACAATAGTTTGCAGACCTACAGTATGTATTATATTTAGAAAATAAAAACTAGTATCGTGTATATAAAATAGGTCCGTCTATCTTTTGCAGACTTACAAACTAACTCGCGACCTCCTACTACAATATAACATCACTTTATAACGTCACTGACATCAGCAGGTAGAAAGTTGTATCACAATTGTTTCTTAATAATCCTTATAAACAAAGCTTTCTTATAATCCAGTTCGACATACAGACTCTGCAGTGGCGGCTGGTGGAAGATTTCCTGGGTGTGGCCATCTAATCAGTATCAGCAAACATCCCAGCATGACTTAAATCAAACCGGAAAGGAATCAAAAACGTAATACTAATTCGAAGTTCGATATTCAACCAATCGATAATGAAATTCGTAGCCAACGCTTTTAATAATCAAATTTTATCGATTTCATCGATTCGTTGTTGGAGCCCTAATTGCAAGTGAAAGTCTAATTCATTGACTGCTTGTTTCCAGAATACATGGTTTATATTGAACACTGATGATTTTGATCTTATTGTTAAATGTGTTTTAGTTTAAAATAACATGAGGTGCAGCGTTTACTCCTTCAACTTGCTGGTCTTTGATGTATTGCTTTAAAAAGAAAATTTAAACAGTGTTTTGTCTTAAATAGTGGTTTTGTTCGACCTGGGGGAAGCGGGGGAGCTGTGACATTTCTATGTCCGGATCCCTCCATCATTTGGAACATGGTGACCGCAACGATTGTAAGGTTTTAAAAGTGATACTCCTTGCGGTGCATTGACCGACGTCATGTCACACAGGGATTCATGTAACCAACCTCTCCAAATGTAATGAGTGCTAGCTATGCTCTCATTGCAAGAGACGGAGCAAGATATTCTCTGTGGAGAATACCATGCTATTTTTATTATAAAAAGCTGAAATACAAGCACTAACCATCAATTGCAACAACAACAGAATGTAATTAGTACAGCTTACTGAGATATGAACGCTGTACAAGCAAGGATAGATTTACAAATCAATTACGGTGGATGAGGCTGTTGAAACATGGCCAGTGAGGTTTTAGATGGAGCCGGAAGGAGCTGTTTTTGTGGGAACATGGTGTACTTGACTGCTCGTGTCTACCTGTGTTGGTTTTCCGAGCAGTTCGGGGAATCCCTAATTGGGCGGTAATTAATGCTCAGCCTCTGCATTCTGTGAGGCTGACTCAGATGGGATCATGAAATCAGCAAAACAATATTCATCTTCTCAATGGCATCACGACATAAAAGAGGATGTTTAGAGCAAATATGTTTGTAAAACATTCCTACAGCTATAGACTCTGTCTATAATAGTATACATAAAGTATACTCTACGTATACTTACATACATATACTGGACAGACGGATGGACGGATTTGGCCCGCGAGTAGGACATATGTGCTCTATAAGCATTTTGGCATAAAGCATGCCATTTATGTGTGTGAAAAATAACAATTTGCTTGTTGAAAACATCCACAGAGAATAATGTTTGTTGCAGTTTTGAAGTCCTGATTGCAAAGCGCTTCAGGCAAACTAACTGATAAAATGTGTCCTTAGTGTTCACACAGACAGCATTGGCACGTTGACTCTTTTGTAATCAGAGCGTTCAGTGTCTGTAAAATCCCTTTGTGCCTGAAATACTCACTTGGCAGTTGAGAAACACCCTGGCAACCTTATTCAATACAGCCATTGGGGAGAAAGAGCGAGCTCTAAACACAATTGATTGTTTTCCCCAACAAATTAAAACTCACAATTCTAAAAAAAAATTAGTTTGTTGCTTCAAACACAAGAAAGCATGTTTTTGTCACTGTGAATTGGTCGCAATAAGCTGCTGTTATTGTCTCATCCAATCGATCAAAGGTGTCAAACATAGTTTAATTGGTGTGAAACGTTATTAACGGTTTTAACACCTTCTATCACCGTGAAGTTATAATTAATGTAGCTTCAAAAAGAGAGCTTTTTATCAATGATAACCTTCAGAATAAACATAGATCCCAATATATGTAATTCATCACAGGCATGGTAATCCATCCATCTGCTAACCGCTTATCCTGCACGATCCAACTTTGGGCGATGGACACCTTGGACTGGTCGCCAGCCAATGGCAGAGGCATGGTGAGGTTCGGTCAAATTAGATGGTCAAATCAATGCTTTTGAGTATTTGCTTTCTTTCTGAGGCAGCGGGAAACAGCTAACCTCGCTCTCTTCAACGAACGGTCAATTTTCCAGTGAGTGTGGAATAATTATAACATCAGAATAACACCAGCGAAAGGTATTTATGTCAATCGCACCAATCAGCGCTACATTTGAATGAGTTGTCGAATTGACTTCTTATATACAGTATGTAGTTATAAGCAACATGAGGCCACATTTTATTTTTACCTCCACACATGCTACAAGGACAGACATAAAGCATTTAGGTTATTAATAACCTGAGATTTATTTTTTATACCCCTTGTATCATGAAACACACATGTATTTGTATTCATGCATCATACATTCCAGGCAGGAAAATCGCTATAATTATTCAGCGGCCTTGGTGCTACTTGGGGTGCTGAAGTTGTCATTGTTATTTAAATCTGTGATTCTCAACTGGTGGGACCCGAACAAGTAGACATGCTGAGCCCTGCTGTCAAAAGGCCCTGGTGGCTGTGTGTCTCTGCCACATTGCACTGCACAGCAGGAGGTGGTACTGAGTCAGAGCAATTCTTACTTGGTCAGGATTGTTTTGTGCCATTTTATGTCGCTTTCATCGCACCGAACTATTTGTGCAGCCTGTGACAGTCCACACTTTCTCAATCAGCGGCAGCAATTGTGGCTCTGTGTGTAGTTTTAGCAGCAATGAAACAGGGTGTTATATCCACATTTGTGACAGATCAAATCGTTTCCACGCGCTGCCCGTTTTAGGCGGGATCGTGTGTTTGGTTTTGGCTACCGAAGAGATGGAGGAGATTGACTGATGCGTTGGTGCCGCCCATCCGTTCACACAGCTGCTTCCTCACTTCCATCATCACCGTCAGAAGCCTTTTATTCTACTGGCAGAATACACTAAATTTGATACTTGAATTATTGTATTAACATATTCATGTATTTTTTCTGTCCAATCCAATATTGAAATTAGCAGCAAACCAGTACATAAAAAATATGACGAGTCCTGGGACGTTATGCCCCATACGGGCTGATACAATATTTTCGAAAATCAACAGGACCTTTTGTGGGAGCTACTACCTTGGATAATCTACTCTCTTGCTGCGTAAAAGGAGCGAACCAGTGGTGCATCAGTAGCCCTTTGACACAATTGTTTATTGATCCAAACGTCAAATGGCCACTACAGCCTTTGTTTGTCTTGTTGTCCCTTTAGTTTTAAAACGACAACGTGCATTCCAAATGAAAATTGAGTGGCGGACGTGCAGAGTCTGAGCCGGAGCAACTCAAACCATGTACATTATCAAAAGGGTATAAATGAGCTCACCATGTCCTACATCATGTCAGGAAAAATACTTGCATCCCACGCAGTTGAAAGAATATTAGGTATGACCGACAATGAAAAGGGTTTTGTGAGAGGGCATGCGGTATTTGTTTTAAGTTTAAAGGGCTGTTGGGTTATGATGCTTGTATTCAACAATGTGGATTAGTAACATTATCCCTTCTCCTTCTATCCATTCTTCAGTAAAAAATGTATTGCTAAATGAGATTGTTTGCACTTTGATCAAAGGATTAACTGAGAAGGCGAATTTGAAGTATGAGTACTGTTTTTTTATATTTGTATCTTCTTGTTCTTTAGAGGGGACTTTTTCTGAAGTGACAGAAGACAAAGCTGACTGAAATGCATGTAAAGTGCCCAGAAGACACCACACTGCAGCTTCACATCAAAGTATTTTAGGTATTGATGATGAGGAAACTTTTTGGGGGGGGAATTGTTTGGGTTATTTCCTGAGATATTTAGTTAGTCTTCTATAAGAAGTGTCCCCACACTTAGGAATCAAACTGTTGATGCTCAAGGGGAAACATGTACGGTTTCCATCTCTGCGGAAGGTGTGTTGTTGTTTTTTGGGTGCGGGCTAAGCATGCACTAACAATACGCGTGTTTTCTATGAAGGCGACTTACCGAGCAGCGAACCTATGAGGATGAAGACCTGGATGGTGGTGGTGAAGTCCCGGTAGGCTTGCTCCCGGACGAGGCGCTGCTGCTCATCCAGCTCGGTGCCCTCGTGAGGCGGGCTGCTGTCCCACCACGTCGGCGGCGGACTCGAAGCGTTCAGCGGATCCAGCCAGAGGCGGGCTGCGGTGAAATTGCCTGCACCGTCTCCGACCGTCGCAGCCCGACTCCCACTATCCATCTCGGTTCAAACCCCGCGATCTGGACGTCTTGTTTTGGGTTTTTTTTTAAGAGGGCTGCGGGGATGTCAGCAGCCACCATTGGAGTGGCATTTCGGAGGGGACGATGGAGATGCGTTGCCCGACAACAACAACAAAATATATGGGTCTACAAAACACAGCGTGCAGGCGGGGATGTGAGGGAAGATGTGAGACGGACACGGGCAGGCAATGCGTGCGGCTGCCAGCAGTGAGATGATGTTTTGTCAGTGCATGTGTCTGACAAATCAGGAGGAAACATGGTGTGATAATCACAGATCAAAGCTCACACACACACACACACGGGGACAGAAGACATAAAAAGAAGCCTATGCTGCATGACCCGTAATGCCCCGATGCGGATGCATGGCAGAAATCACGGAGATCCGTGCGCAGTGAGGGGGTTAGCTGGATGCTGCACCGTGACACCCCCGGCGCACCGAAAACCACACCGGGTGGCAAAGTGTCCGTTAGCAGGAAACGAGAAAGAAAAAAAACCAACAGCACTACCAACACCTTTTTTTTCAGCAGTCTAGGAAGAAAAAGGGAGAATATTGCTGGTGTTACTTGCCGATGCGGTCACAGACTGGGAGACGGTGTGGAGAAAAACCTCGCAGCGTGAGGTGCGAGACCGGGGGGAGGAGCCCCGCCCCCCCGGTGAGCCACCGAGGAACTCCACGGAATCTTATGAATGACAACCACGCACCGATCAGAACCGCCCGCTGGCACGTGCAGGTGGGTCAAAACAAACACAAAAGCAGCTAAATCATTGTTTTAAAGGCTAGGCGCTTTTCATTATTGTGCCACATTGTCATCACGGTTGTTTATTAGATAGGTGAAGATAACCAGACATTTTATGGGGTTTGACCTCAAGCACAACCCTGATGTTGTCTCTCTCCAACTGTCCACTCACAGCAACGTGTGACATTCCTCTTTGGATTGCTGGAAATACCCAAAATAGGAGAGGACATTCCCCAGCAAAGCAATATTTTATACATTCATCCAGGTTTTAATTTATAACAGTGAGTGAGTTTGTGCAAGCTGGCAGGGGCCCCAAGAGACGCTCACGTGGACCCCGTGTAGGGAAACATTCATTCAGGTGGATGTAACACACGTGTTTGTCTCCAACTTCAGAATCACACTACCTTCTTTGATGCAGGCTACATCGCGAATAAATCCCTAAGAGAAAAGCTTACACCCTCAATGTAAATGTACTTCCCTTTGAAACAGACTAAAGCCCGCCGTGTACAATTTCGAGGGTTTTAACTTTAATAAGGCAATAAAACCACAACACTGGGATTCCTGTTATCCATGATGATCCGTTCCACATTACATAGTATGTGACCAAATCATACGCGGCATTATGAGATAGACTCCTTAAAACATAAGGCTTGCAGGCCACAACCGACTCCTTCTGGGAGACTTGATGAATTTCAGTTGTAAGAGGATGCTTTAAAAATACACGGTGAAGCCACCAGATGATGCTAATTTGCTAAGTGTAACATTGTAATTCATATAGATCAACACGTTAACTTCATCATCAAAATAGTTTATTGTGCGTTTAGTTTACTAAACCTCCAACGACAACTAGAGTATTAATACATGAACAAAGAACAGTACGTGCTGGATAATTCAAAACAGTAGTGACGGCTGCAGAGCATGTTGATGCATCCGGGGCGTCGTACTCTGCATCATTTTGGGCAAAAGCGCCAAAGCACGGCGAGTTTGTTTCAGTTTGAGAGGAGCACTAAGCATCAACAGAAGACTCACTCAATACCATTTTGAAAACGTCCTCGGTAGGAATCTACAAGGCAAAGTGAAGTGTCGCTAATGATAGCCATTCCTGGATGCTCGACACACTTGACGCAGCGTGGCTCGCTAACAAGCACCCTTACTGTCCAAGTGGCTCTTGAAAAACTCCTGGACTCTCTCCCACAGGTCCTGCTGAGCCTCAGCGTGAGCTTTCGGCTCGCCACCAAACACCACCTCAGAGCCGACTGCCCCGTGAAACCCGGACGCACAGTGAGGCGTGTGAGGGACTTCCAAAAAGTGGCCGGCTTTGGGGTACGTCGCCACCTCAAAATGCTCCTTGCCGTGACTCCTCAGCGTGGCGGCGGCGCCCTCGGCGAAAAGAACGCTGTTCCAGTTGCGGTCGTCTTCAGAAGCGGCAAACAGGAACCGGCAGCTGGCCCGTTCAATCGGGATCAATGACGCCCTGTTCTTTTCCAAATACGGGTCGGGTAAGGCGTCGCGTACATCTAGAACACCAGAGTCTGTGACTTTGATGTTCTTCATGATCGGTTGAAGCGGAGGCAGAATGGCGTCTTTGTAGTGCACAGGGATCACTACATTTGCACTGCAGCCATTAATACACACGGTCGCTGAGATGCCAGAGAGGAAGGAAGACATGGCCAACGCCACACAGCCGCTGTGGGAGATTGATATGATGCCAATCCCAGGACCTTTGACCTGCAGAGAAAGGTATCGGGTTGGTTATCGTGTTAAGAACAACGTACTCCTGCTAAAATGTTCGGTTTCATAAAAATATATATATTTTTTTTAAATGCCTCAATTCCATATGACAATACCAATAAGTGCCATAACTTATTGCTCTGCACATTACTTTCTAAATGAATCAATTAGCTGTGTTAAGGGTAAAAAATTCCAACACTTGATTATCATATAATATTAACAAATTGTCATATACGAGGGTGGAACGAGTAAATCAGTTATTAATCTCCTGTCCACTGTGTCATTCTAAAACGGTCTTTGTGGTGTCAGAAAGTAGCCAGTAGATGGCAACATTGACGCTGTTATAGTATGTAAAATATGGGTATATGAATCTAATACGTGTGTGTATGTTATAAATTGAATGGGACACATAATTCAAAATAAATACAAAACAATTGCGGCGCAGTGTAAAGATGATTATCTTTTCTGTTTTGATCATCAACACTAACCTCTGTCTGTTTCCTCAGAAATGTTACAGCCTCTTCAAAGTACTCCAGATCCAACTTTTGGGGGTTTCGGGGTAAATCCATGTAGCCTATATAGGCCAGCGCCAGGACAACAAAACCTTTACTTGCCAGGAGGCTGGCCCTGGGCTCAGTTAGACGTCCCCCGAATGTGTACAAATCCACTATTCCTGGGAATGGACCCTTTCCTGGAGGGAGAAAAGGGGGCAGAGGTTAAGTAGAACACCGATATCCCTCCCATCTCTCTATCGCTCTTGTCTACAGTACAAAACCAACCCGGTGGTACGAAGAGGACTCCTCGTATTCTTCCCTCTTGCACAGGTACTCTCTTCATCCCCTCTGTCATGTATCCTCTCTCGTTGGTTTCAGAGGCTAAGACCTCGCCCGTTTCTGCACACAGTGCTTCTATCTCCACCACTGTAGGGCTGAGCACATTCTTCTTCAGGAGTTTACTGTGTGGAGTCTCTGGCGCCATGGCCCAAAACAACCCCATGGGCTCCACTCCGGTGTAGCTTCCTCGCAGGGAGGGTGCTCGGCAGACATCCACCAGGCCAGTGGCATCTGCTTTGAACAGGGCAGAGGCCCTGAACATCGCCCCTCTGTCATCCACTAGTTTGGATGTTAATTTAACTTGTTTGTGTGGAGCGAGTCCCTCTACTTTTACCTGCACTGGTTTATCAAAGAGACAGCGAAGACTGGGGAGAATTTTCAGGCGGATCTGCGAGGAAGCCATTGCGGCTCTTCAAGACGGGAATCAATCGAGTTCTGTCAAGGCGATCAAGAATGAAATAGTTTTCACATTAAATACAGCGTATTGTGTCATCGTCAGCTCTGTCAAATATCATGCTAATCATTATAAACCTTCTCCATTGTGGATCATCATAGTGTAACTGACAGAATATGCTGTGTGGATTAACACAAATATTAAATTGTCTCCCAATTATTGCACAGTGATATTCGGTGGATGCAAAGGAAGGATTTATTTTGTAAGACCTAATTGTTGGGACCCAGAATGTGTGTTTATCTCAGTCAGCTATGCTTGAATTTAAATTCAAAATGCGTCAGTGGATTGCCTCACACTGGTTTTAATTTTTTGGTATTTTATATCTATATTAGTTATTTTGTTTACGGCCTCTGTACTTCTATATGAATTAATTAATTTTCCATATTGCGCTTGTGTCATACTGCCATGGCTAAATTCATCAAGAAGCCAAATCATGACATGCAACATGACCTGTGCTGCATTGGAGAGATTGAAAGGGCATGAATATGTTCGCGGTTAGAAGTCAAATGCATGTACACGCACCAATGAAACCTGAAGACAGACAGTCCCACATTAAGAAATGAGGGCTTAAAATCCCTTTCTGAAAGGCACACCGCTGACGTCACGTAAACAATCCGTGATGTAATTGATGGAGTTGACTCTGTAGGTTGGCAATTAAGAAATTGAGAAGTGTCCTTTCTGCGACACAGTAGCGCCCAACTGGAGAAAAGGTCAAGATCGCACAACTCATTCATCTAAAAATACATTCGAAGAGTCGTCAGCAACCAAACATGAAAGCCTTGTTTAACGTTAAATCCTCCGGTAGCTCGATACCGATAGTTAGCAAGAAATAGCTCAACAGCTTTGGCAGTACTACTGTTTGCTTTGTTTTATTTTCTCGCGTTTTTTAAACAAACTGCAAATCATTAGCCACAGACTAGTGGGGATCAGACAGTGAATACCAATCGATAGAAATCACGGAAACGCACAATGTTGACTTACGTGCACTACGAAGCAGTTTGTTTACAGAAGAAATTTAAATGTAAGGAAGGAAAATGGGCGCGACCACTTTGCCAAAAAGGGGGGAACCACTTTCTGGATCAGCTGCCCGTGATGTCAGTTCGTTTCTTGCACAAATGATTCACAAGATATGTTAAAGTAATTGTGTTATTATCAAAGAAAAAAAACATTTAATTTGAATAATGAATAACTATTTGCAGAAATAATTTGATCGACTCAGGAACCGGTTGATGCGTTGTAGGGAGGTGAAGCAGCCGCTAGGTGTCAGCATTGGCCCAAAAGCATTAAAGGTTAAGACGTCCTTCCGGTATTAGACAAACATTTAATTACGATCTCCCGATACGATTCACAAGATTCTCAGCATGTACTTTTTTTGTACTATTTACAACACATGTTTCCCATATGGAATACATTATCTGATTAGTTACATCCAACTTCCTACATATATTTCCATATTACTGAACAAAATTGCTGGACACCAAGGTCAGAAAACGTGTGTGTGTGTGTGTGTGTGTGTGTGTGTGTGTGTGTGTGTGTGTGTGTGTGTGTCCTCTCAGATGTTCTTTACATGACTGCTGGAGTTTAATTACTCATTCATTGGTTAGTCAGTGTCAATGACTCAAACCCTCTGGGATGAGGAAAAGAAAATAATCCCTCATTGAGGAGGAGAGAACGAAATATGACTGTAGGGAATGTATGTAGAAACCAACCATTTCATTTTGGACATTGAGGAATTGTAGCAGTCATATGAATTTCATTTACAACAACCCTTACAAGGGTCATATTACTGGAGTGGACCTTTGGAACGTTTGCTAAGGGCAATAACAAGTACAGATAAGATTAACATGTGATGGCGAGTACAAGACATTTTTCAAAAGTAGAAGAACACAAATTGAAAAACTGTACAAATATCATGAATACTATAAACAACACATGAGCCATCGAACAGGACTATTTGCTATGATAGGACTGCAGTTTCTCAAATGCCCCTAGTTTCTATGTTAGGTGAAAAACACTAAAAGCATATATGAAAGATTATTGAATTATATGGGTGAAATGATTCCCACATTTAAGCCAAATTCGTATTATATTTTTCTTGCTATCAGTTTTCTATAAAAAAAACTCACTTTGATGCCAGATCTTTTGATGTTTCATGGATCCTGAAAATCAATAACACATTAATTTCCCTCAAAGGATCACCTCATATATGTGGAAGACATAGTTTTCTGATCTTTAGCTATTTGAAAGATGCGTTTACTTATCAACTCTCTTTGGGTGTGGGACTTAAAATAAGAGGGCCTCTTTTGATGTTTCTTTACAGTGCCGCAATGTTTTGCAAGGTTACAGTTGAACTATGGTTAGGAGTATGAGAGATCTAACTTTATTTCCCCACTTAGTGAATGCTAATCATTTATATGAACATTTAAATCACTTGTTTATTTATTTACCACCTATTGTACTGAGAAGCTAGTCATTTCAGTGGGTACTGATGCAGATGCTGTTGATGGACTCACTTGCACCCACAGCTCAAAACAATATAACATATCAAACTTAGGAAATGAAATATTTCAGCAGAAGATACAGCCATCTGAAGAAGATATCAGGGATGAAGGGAATATTGCAATAGCATTGACCCTTTTGGAAATGATTTCAGACAAAGAAAATAAAGACGGTGCTTTTATTCTGAAGTTGCTCCGTGTGGTTGGCTTGACAGATTAGGGCCCGCCCTTTTAACGAGGTAGCCATGGCGACCGCGCGAGAGCGAGGCAGCTGGTAGAGTTCTCGCGGCGAGTGTTTCCGCTCACCTAAAACAAGGAGCTGCCGAGCCGAGGAGGACGAGGAACAACGCAACAGTACGGAACTAGACGACAAAAAACACTCAATATTTTTTTAATACAGTTTTGCCACCTCCTGGTCTTTGGGCGTGTCCATTTTTTATAGCCGTTAATGCGTCGAATGTGAAGCAGCGAGAGGAGGGCTCGCCGCATTTAACCTTTACGTTGGTGAGTCTTGTCCGTTTTCTCGCAAGCTAAGCACACACAGGCCACTACGGGAATGACTTGTCTTTCTCTTTCCACCCCCCGGTTGTATTTGACTATTGAATCACTGAAAGCAGGGAGAATGTTTACCACGCTCCAGCAACATTTATTCGTCGAGGAGAAAAATGAGTTGTCAATGTTGTGTTTATCAACTAACGTAACTGGCTTAAGTGTGTCGTTAATTAAGCTAGCCGTGGTCCGTCCGGGACAAACGTTAAGCGTTATGAAAACGCTATGGTATATTTTATTTCTGACGTGGTGTCTTATTCTGTTCGGCTTTAATTGTAATCGAAAACCGCCTTGCGTAGGTAACGTTAGTTCGTCCAGTCTCCAGCAGTTAACAGCTGTAGCATTACTGTATTGTTGATCTTTTCACATTATTTGGGCGGTATACGTTAGCACAGATAGACGATTGCTCGACAATGTCGTCTATCAGAATTAGCTGGGACAAAGACCCAGCAATTGTCTGCGTAGCCACTTTTTTAGAATGAGTTTGCCTCGGTTTTGTCTTTGTTTTTGTCCACTGGTGCGTGTGCACGTATCTGTACGTGTAGGTAGGCGTGTGTGTGTGTGTGTGTGTGTGTGTGTGTGTGTGCGCGCGCGCGCGCGCGTAGTGCTCTTTGTTTAAATAGCTCGCTGTACAGTCACACGCATCGGGGCGCGTGGCCGCTTCAGAGCTGTCGCGGACGCTGTCGGCGACGTTTCCTAAAGTTGCAGAGACGTGCGGATGAGTTCTTCTGTTGCTCGAATATGACTCACGTTGTAATTTCCCACTCGCCAGCAATAGTTTTGAGGCGTTCTTGTGTGGCAGGGTAACAAATGTCACGTCACTGCATGGGGCAGGGAAGTCCAAAGTGTTGTAATGAGGAACACACAACCTGGAAGTTTCTTACTAATGGCAAATAGGAATAAAGTCAGGGAGGCGGAATCTGTTCTGGGTCTGACATTGGGATCAAACACTGTGCCACGCATGTTGAACCATATTATAATATATCTGTAATCTGTGGAAGCCATCCTTACTTTATGGAGAGATCGGGTTATAGTCAGTTTGTTTTTGTTTTCATAAACTTGTTGAACTGCTTTGATATGACAGGCTTAGCCAAAAACCGATAATCCTGCTGTAGCACAAATAAGTCATTTCTCATTAGATTTTCTGCAGTAAGTGTGTTATATAAGGCTCTATGGCGTTATTAAGTAATGTATATAGTTACCATGATGGACGATTTTACCATATTGTCCACCACCAAAGAAGTTTCTTCTTGGACGAAATGCCATTGCTGAAACATAATTCCCCGCAATTATAAAACCCAGTGTTATTAAACATTTTCCAGACAGTAGACCACTTTGTGGGACAGACCAGCGTTCACTAACCAAATATAAACTCTGACCAAGCAGTATGTTGTTTGCACTCAGTCATTCATCTACTTTTTGCCTTAGGATTGCAATAGGATTTATGCTGGCAACTTTTAAGTTATTTGACAATTGTAAAAATTTAGATGATTCTTTTTGAAGCGTCAATCACTCATTTGACTCGCATAGTTCAGAGGGACTTGTTTTGTTCTTACATATTGTACACACTCTGGCTTTCACAGAGGAAATAGCAGATATACCATGGGCAGCATTAATGGCTCTCCTTTAAATCATTTTGTGACTGCAGTAAGATTTCTATAACTCCCAGTCCAGCATTCAGAAGCCTTTTTTTTCTGCTCAGAGAAAACACCCTGTGAGTAAAGATAAGAACACTGTGTTTGGCTTCAATCCCATTCACAGCTTTCCCAACCTCTCCCCACTGTCAACATAACATGTGACAGTGTCCCTCTTGTTTCATCTCACTTCTTCCTTATTTCCCTTTTCTCCGTCTTTCACTCTCTATCCGTCCCCCTTCTTGCGAAAGTACAGAGGGATGCTGGGCACTGTGGAGCTTAACACTACATTTTTCTTCAACAAAGGGTCCTTTCTGTGCTGCGATGCAGAGCCCCATCTCTGGGCTCCCTCCACAGGCCCAGGCGAGCTCCACCAGCAGCAGCAGCAGCATTGGGGTCTATCGGGTGGAAATCTCCTCCCGGCTGTTTCCTTGGCACACTGAGTGCTCTCTGTTCCCGGACACATGCCTGCGCTGCTGCTCTCCTTGGCTCCCTTTGCATTCCAGGAGCCTCGGGCAGCTGAAAAACTGCAGTAGCAGCCTGCTGGCTGGCTGGCTGACTAACTGGTGTCTGAAGTGGAAGTTGCATAGTTTTTTCCCCAAGTGGAGGCCCTAACAGGCAGTATTTAGGCTATATAAACCTGCCATTTTGTGATGGAATGGGCCCAAACATGGCCCACGTAAATGACAAATAGCATTGCGATGTTTACCGATGTTACTCGTTCCCCCAACTAAAGATTATTTACACTATGCATTGTTGCTTTGAGTATGGTAATGTCTTCAATTTAGTTTTTTTAATTTAACAATTAAACAATTAAAACTCCAAGATAGTCAGTTTTCAAGCTTATAAAACAGAAAGAGTTGTCTTGTTTTTCTCTCTCTCTCTATATATGAAACTATTTCAACACACACCTTGTAACTGCAAATACAGCAATGGCACCACAGGCTGTAATTAGTGATCAGGTAAACCGATGTTGCATACCCCTCCTCCCGACAGGAAGCGTTTCTTTACGTGCTTCGAATCTTTTTTTTCTTGAAGTTCAAAAATAGCAACACCTTCTTTCATGTGCTCTGTCAAGCTCAACGTGGTTGGGAGGGTCTGACAGGAAACACACAGCTAGTTCTAAAGTTGACATGCATACATGAAGTATTTTTGTGCTTTCGCTGTCAAACTCCATAATGTGTTTTTAATCAATTAAATGCACAAGCATACAGTCAGTGGATGAAAAGATCTGCAAAAATGATCTTCAGGCTCCGAGCTATCTTGTTCAAGCTAATTGGAATGCAGTATTTTATTGTACCTCTGCACGGAGTTAATGGCTTTGTCCTTTTCTAGGACGCTGTTGTGTGAAAGCAATTGGGCTAATTCTGCTTAAGTTTTCACTTTGCAAACATACCAGACGGTCAATACTCTGCCCTCAGCTCTCTCAGGGGGTCCGCGCTGAATTATAAATGCTATCCCAAGTGGTTATTTACATCTCAACAAGTACACAAAACTCGTGCGGTTGTTTGTCCTGGGTGGGACTCTTGTTTGTCCTCTACATTCATAAGACGTTCATCTGGCATATCAGCATGCGAGTTACCGCAGGGCCTCTCTGTAACCCAAACCTGAGCACAAGTGCTCTGATCCCAACGTGGGCGAAATGAGAAAGTGTCTACGGATCAAATGCCTGGCAGTGGTCCCATGCATGTGTTTTTTACCATCTGCTTCTTGGCTCAATGAAGAACCCAAACTGTCCTGCCAAATCTGACTCACGTCACTCTCTCCCAATGGCACAGGCCACATGCAGGTAGGCCTCAGAGAGATGGCAGGCAGAAGGGTTTTTCTTTAGTGAGTGTGCTGGGACACTTCTGCCAATTCAACGTATCGTAATATCAAACCTGGTGTAGGACCCGCAAATGTGCAGGTAGATGCAAATGAATGTGCGTGTGTGTTTACACTCACTTCCCCTCGTCGCTGGTGTTCTGGGTCATCGGAGGCAGTGGCCACGCAGCCAATCTGCAATCGAGTTCCCAGCTCCCTACGTGCAGCCGTGTCATCACTGTAGCCATTAGCTCCGCAGCCTTGAGTCAATGTAATGGGCCTTCTGCCCTCTCTTGAGGATATTCTGCCAGCCAGCACTCTCATTTCCCACCAACGCAGGTACTGCTACATCATCCCGATCTGTCTGTGGCAACAACAAAAAAAAATCAAGACCGTGCACCTGGTTGTCATTAATGTAATGATAATGTAAGTCTGATTGCAGGCTCAGGCAACAACAAACACTTTCAGGAGCTGTTCTTTGAGAGAGATTTGTGAAGAGGATGGAGGTGTGGATATCTCCTCCCTATTTTTCTCTGCACTGAATGCCGTATTTATTTATTTATTTATTTATTTTGCAGACATCTACAATAACCACTTACTAAGTAAAAACTTCAAGTGCAACAATAACATTTCAGCAGTAGCGAGTGCAGGGCAAGGAACAAAACGGCAGCGTATTATTTGGCTGATATTGTTGACTGAAATGGTCGCCGAAAGACACTTCATGAGTCGACATCGTATGTTGGCCTTATGAGCAGCCGGAAAAATGCCGGACATATTAATGAAAGTAGCACCCGGTGGAGTTGTCTTCAAATAAATGATCCATCACACTCCCTTCACTCTATTGCTTCTAACGGTGTGCAGCATATGGCCGAGTTGCATCACAGCCGAGCAGACGGCGGTAGGGCATCTGTTCATCATTCATCTGTAAATTACTCTACACTTTTTATTGAAACCCTTCAGTAACTACAATTGAGTGTTCCCTGCTGTAAACATGTTTAGTGCATATGCATTATTGAACTAATAATGACCAATAAGAAATACTGCCCAAATCCCAAGGGAGCCCTGGATTTATTTTACTTGTACAATGAAGCGATGGTAGTCACTGTCTTATTTTACGCTGACTCTCTCGCACACTTTTAGCCTCTTTACCCACAATGCTCCTATCTCATCAGCAGCAAGGATCTGTTTCCCTGTTACATCATCTACGGCAGAGGTTCATTTAGTTTGATCTCGTGGCTGAGGCAGGAGTGGGGATCCAGGGGAGATCAGAGGAACTCTCCTGCTGTTGATGCCATTAGTGGTATTTGAAGAAAAAAAAAATACTGGAAATTGCAGTTTGTCTGCCTGTTGGTGGTTTAAATCGAAGGCTGCTATTTAGAGAATCGAGGTGTAAGAATTTGTAATACCCGTGAACCAAGCGCTCCTTGATGACATGCAGTGAAGGGCTTTAAACTGTCACTCTCTGTCCCTTAGTTTATAGAGCTCTCTCACTCTATTCCCTCCTGTCTCTTTCTGTGTTGCTTTTGGTTACATAATCCTCGCTGAGCGTTGATAGTAATCCGCGTCCTTCCTCCCCGTCCCTCTACATCCCTTCCTCTTCCATGTGGCCTGGACAGGTTAAGCCGTAGAGGACTCTCGCTGGTTGCCGGAGGGAAAAGATGTGCAATGGAATGGTAGCGTTTCAGACGAGAGCCCCGTCCTCTTCCTCAATCTCCTCCTCCTCCCCGGCCCACAGGCTGGCTGCCTCCGCGCTATTCCTCCTCTTCACCCTGATCCCCAATGGTCACGCATCAGGTAAGACGCGGACACACAAATACACACACACACGTTTTTCTCTCCCTCTGTCTCCCATATGATACGTGTCGAGTAAAAGGTCTCTTGTGAGTGGTTTGAGTCCCCCCCCTCCGTTCTTGCAGGTAAGTTAGATTTAAATTGGCTTCCTAGGGTCTTTGAGGTGGCTCATCCTCAGAGCTGCAGCCGAGACGTCCAATCCCTCCCGCTCTGTGAATGCGTTCACTGCCCTAATGAGTCACAAACGAAACAGAATCTGCAGTCAGATTACTGTAGTGAAGTTTTAGTCAGCAATGACATTTAGTTTCCCCAGAGAATTTTTACCGTGGCTAACAAGTAGTGGTGCAGCGGATCATAAAACTCAAGGTTTGGATCGTATCACTGATCAGAGGCACAGATTGGATCACCGCAAAGGAAAAAAGGGAGTAAATATAACTTTTAGGGATCCTTGATACTAATTGCTGATCATTGATAACCTACACTGGCTTGTCAAGCAAGGCTTCAGACAAATATTTTTGTCACCGCCCAAAAGGTCATTTCAACTGCTCGGAGGTCGGTGTAAACCATCAATAATTCTAAATGTTAAATATTATACATTGTTGAAAGGCTGACGCACTCGTTTCAACTCATGGTTCTAAAAGTCTTGCGTGTGTTGCAGAGCAATTCACCGCCAGAACAACACGTGGAGTAACATGTTTTGTTGAAGACGACCTAGAGAGTCACGTCTTTGTGTGTGGAAGTCATTGGTTTGTTTATTTATTTATCATAGACTTTATTGCCCCGTGCATCGCCACTGCTGCTTTTCATCGCGGACACATTGGTCCCGTATTTTCTTCCACAACTTTGTGCACCTCTCGACCGGCAAACCGGCGTTTGCGGCGATCTCCCTCCGTGAATCCAACCCGCTTCTACAACCCGTAAATGACGTCTTGTAGAAGCGGTCATATTTACGCATTTCTTCCGACAAAAGTTCTTCAATCTGATCCGTTTTGTCGTAAACATTCTTCGTTTTAATAATGGCGGTATCGGGCTATGAAAGCGGAAATGCGAGACTCCGTAAAGGACGTAGTTAGCGGACCAATCGCAGCCTGGTGCGCTGCGGGAGGCTTGCAACGCTAAAAAAATGGGTCCTCACACGCAAGGACGCAAGGAGGTGTGAAAAGGCACGCAAGGTTACACGCAAGGGGGTCTTGCGTCTGCGTCGCTCTGAAAACGCAGAAGCATATACTAGGCTTAACTGTATAACCGGTCCGTAGACCGGTACAATTCATGTCTAATATATCTTTATTAATGTGAAAATATCTATTCCAGAAAATAGGATTCATTGAAGTTTCTCACAGAGGAACTTTTATGAGCTTACACGTGACCTTATCAGTAAAATTATATAACTTCGACCAACACTCCTTTTCACCGAACAGTGCCTTTGTTACCAGCTCTTCCCCTGCGGATTTAAACATGGAATCACTGTTTACAACATAAAACCGTCAGATGGATGTCCACATCCTAATTGGCAGATTTGACTGAATATTGGCGGATAACGATTGTCAGTAAATCTTTATTTCACACTGTGATGGTTACTGTAATTAGTCCACGGTTAACATGGAGCCAAATCTTGAGGTGGGCAGTGGTCTGTTACACCGCTACTAGCGAGCTTTATCTATTGCCCCACAAGCTTCTGCTTTTGATCTTCGATTATTATGGGTAACACAACCACCACGGGCCTTTTTTAGAGCGCGTGTGCCTTTGCTTCTTCTTTCTTCCTACAATACAATGTTAATGACGTACTCGTTGAACCCCTTCACGTGTGCCAGCTTTCCTTTCACTTCGGCTCTCCAATGTTCCCATCCCCCTCCCCCCACAAAAACACACATCGGCCTACACACACGCACGCACACACACTCTCCTCTCACATAGTCAGCTTGTGAAATGTGCCAGATGTCCTTGCCACAGAGGAGAGGCAGACTGCGTATGTGTGAATAAGTAAATGTGTGCGAGGGTGTTTTAAGGCTTTGGGATGTTTTTAAAGCTTTAATTGATTAACTTTCCTTAATGGCTTGAATAAAGCAATGTGTGTGACAAACGGCAAAGGAAGGATTAGAGGTGCGTGAGAGATGGACGGATGAGCAGGGGGAGGGCAGTGCCGATCCCAACTGTTCTCTCTGTCCCTCGCTTATGTAACACACATGATTCAAGCGCAGCCCAGAGGGACGGATATCACGCTCACGTTCTGCGTTCAACACTCGCACACACACACACACACATACTCCAGCCCACGTGCCCTGTGTACTGAATCAGCATGTGTAGCTGTGTGCGCATATTTGTGTCTTTCCTTGTCTGCTCCACATACTCTACATATTATATGTTATACGTATGATATTTACTAATTGATTGCACCCCCAAATCATGTGATGTCAAAAGACCAGCCCTGCATCCACCATGTCCATGACGGTTGGTGCTTAATGGGGACACATTCGTTTGCTTAAAATGTATCTTCAGTATCCACAATGCACATATGCCTTTAAGACTGGAAAAGTACAGGAAGTTCTCTAGGCTTCATCGCTAGGACTGTTTCCACTGGCATGTTTGAAAGGCCTGGACCCACTATGTCGTTAAATGGACAACTCCCCAAATCAAACCAACCTTTTGACTGTTCCTTATTAATGCCTGTACTATTTTTATGTTGTAATTAACCTAGATTTCAGTCCATTGCTCACTGGCTCTGAATACACATACCGACAAACCCTGGATCACAGGAGGGGGGAATATTCCTAACTTGTTGTTTAGGATTGACCTTATTTTGGATATATCTGATGAGGGAATTGTCAATTCAGCCACTGTAGTGGGAACCTAAATATTGAATCACACATCACAAGTTACTCGTATTGAGGAATGAAATATTTAGAATCACGAAAAAGAGGATTCAAATTTAAATGAAAGGTATTCAAATACCAAAACACTCAAGAAATGAATGTCAGTGATCACAAAATGGAAGTATAAAATATAATCTATTATTAGACATATTACCATAAAGATGAGGTAGTTATTTTAATGCTTTAGACGCATTATGTTATTAGTTCTTCTGTTCGCTTCGCGTCCTCTCGCTCCTGCTTGGCATACATAATTCACATAGGTTGTTGACGTGGTCCAAGGGATGGAGATTGCTCTTGAAATTTTCATGAATATGAAATTGTATGACTGCTGACAGGCTTACTCCAGACTCATACAAATAGCAGCGTGATGTGTGAATAGAAATGACTACTACTAGAATATATACCGCGCAGCACTTGCATACGAGAGCTAAAGCAGAGAGTGGTGTGAAACATTATTTTTCCTTTTTATTTAATTTAATTCTTTTAGGTATTTGACCCTTTTAAAGCGATGGGAAATAAGATGGAGAGACGGGAGGATTGAGCGACTTTCCGCTCCAAATTCTTGTTCCTTCAACAAAGAAAGGAAGCGCTTTTAGCTTCCGCATTGGCGTTCCACAACAACAATTCCTTGTACCTGTTAATATGCTCACATAGGGAGAAGTCACAAAGCCTTTTGATGCCGTGATATTTTTAGAACAATCACAGTCCATGCTGTGCTTTTCTTCTTTTTATCTGTGTACATTTTAAACAATATTACCAATTAGCTGCCTAGCTAATGTAAATGGCTGCCTTGTTTTTACAAAAGTAGCAACATCCTCTGCTTTAAGGCAGGATGCCAGTGAACAAGCAAAGCAACAAAACGGCACTGTAGCTTTTCTGTATGCACAAAATAAATGGCATCTGTGTCGAGGGGTTTTAAAACATTAAAACACTTTTTCTGAGTCTATGTGGCATCCCACTGACGATGGCTGCATAAAGCTCAGTTCCTAATATGGTCCCAATTCCTTACAGTGAGCCTTTTGTGGTTTGTTTCATGGGGAGCAGACATAGACAGTGAGTCAGAACTGACACAGTAATAAAGATGGAAACTCTGAGCCCTAAAGGCTCTATTCACATGGATCACATGCCGTGTTTTCTGCTCTTTCCAGCGCTGTGTGTCAGTAGGCACGACGACACGGACCGGCGTTGTGGGTCCACTTAAGCAGATAAACGACGCCGTCTGAAAAGCCATTGTCTTCTGAAGTTTAGCTTTGGCCAGAAGACTCCCACAAACAGGCCCGCTGCGTTCTCTCTGTGGTGGTGACGTTTATTTATGTCAATGTGTGAGAACGGGAAATGGCTTTCCCCCGGCCTGGAAGAAAAGTAGAGTCATAGGGTAAAGTCGAGAGCAGGGGGAGGACAGCAAGAGACGGAGCGGAGAGCTGCCCTTCTTATTTCCTCAGGGATTTATGCTTGTTTTTTGACAATCGATTGGTGTCCATTCTTGGCTTGAGTTTAGTGCCCTTCTCTCACCGTTAGAAGGCCTCTCATGCCTTTTTGTTTTGGCAGCTCTTGCATCACGGCGTAGGACCGGCTCAAGGACATGAGGGTGTTTTCTCGCAAGTCAAGCACAAGGGAAAAGACTCAACAACCGCCCTTTTTTCTGTTTAATAGCAGAGTAGAATCCAGTGGCTAGGATAGCGTCACTGCGCTGACCACAGGAGGCAAAAGTCTGAGCCTTTGCCTACTTCAAGCATCTTCAAGCAAATGTAGAGTCTTAAAACGCGTCACTTTCTGTTGCCAAACAAAATGGTGTTTGTCTTGTGCACAAAGTTTGCTGTATCGGCCGTATATATAAACAGGGCAGCCCGAGGGAGGGAAACAATGGGTCCTGAGCAATTAACGGTTCCAAACGGTCCCCCCAAGTCCTGTTAGCGAGGCAGTTTGAAGGCAGGCAGGAGTAAAGCAATTCGTCGCTGGCTACTGCCTTATTTCTGCAACGTGAGAACAAAGAGAGCTTTTAGGGGGCCGGGGGGGGGTGGAAGCCGCAGGCCAAACCACAGCAAGCTGCAATTCCAATAGATAACCCGACTGCAATTAAGACTGCAAACGGTGTGTGTGTGTGTGTGTGTGTGTGTGTGTGTGTGTGTGTGT